GTTCACTCCTTCGCAGCGAAGGTGGGGAACGCTGGTCCGCTGGACGCGCACTGCACGGCTGTGCCACACGTGAACGCCGCGCCCGCTTTATACCAGCCGACGACGAAATCGGTTTTTTTTTTTTTTTTTTTTTTTTTTTTTTTTTTTTTTTTTTTTTTTTTTTTGAACTTACCCGACAACCCTCGCAACTGGACCCCACGGGCCCACAGGCTCCCCTGATGCCGTAACAAACTCCTTTACAATCAGACACTGACACCTGTAGGAACCTACCAACCACATTCAATAATAACTTTATACATATATCCATAAGAGCATACACAACAACACTCATACATACACATTTAAAAAAAAAAAAACTCCAAACCCGCAATTGGAATTTCCAACTAAAACACAACAACATTTTTTCCCCTCCACCCAACATAACTTACATAAGCACCCGGTGCCCCACCCACCAGCCCCAAACTCACACCCCCAGAACCACTGACTTCAAACCAGCAGACCACCCAAGGAAAAATGCGCCCCTAACGCCACCCCCGCCCAAAAAAAAACCCTGCAGGCACATCACACCCATCCATCCAGCCTAAAACACAAATTACCCCCCATCATCCCCCCACACACGAATCCTGTCACACAACAGGCTCAACACCACAAAAACAAAACCACCCACTAAGGACTGCAAACATAAATTACATGAGCACCGGTGCCCCACCCACCAGCCCCGAAACTCACACCCCAGAAAACACCCCCCCGCAGGCATATCACAGCCATCCATCCAGCCTAAAACACAAATTACCCCCCATCATCCCCCCACACATGAATCCTGTCACACAACAGGCTCAACACCACAAAAACAAAACCACCCACTAGGGACTGCAAACATAAATTACATGAGCACCCGGTGCCCCACCCACCAGCCCCGAAACTCACACCCCAGAAAACAACCCCCCACAGGCATATCACACCCATCCACCTAGCCTAAAAACCAAATTTCCCACCACCATCCCCACACACGAATCCTGTCACACAACAGGCTCACCCCCAAAACAACAAAACCACCCACTAAAGACCGCAAACATAACTCACATGAGCACCCAGTCGCCCACCCACCAGCCCCAAACTCACACCCCCACAACCACTGACCTCAAACCAACAAACCACCAAAGGAAAAGTGCACCACAAATAATCCCCTAACTCCACCCCCCCCCAAAAAAACCCTGCAGGCACATCACACCCATCCATCCAGCCTAAAAAGCAAATTACCCACCACCATCCGCACACACGAATCCTGACACACAACAGGCTCAAAACAAAAAAAACAAAACCACCCACGCTCCCTTCACATGCCCTGCAACATTTCATAACACAAACGACAAAACAAAATGTCAAAACAAAACGACATCGGTCCCCGTATCGCACGTCATTACAAACCACTCACGCGCATAGCACTACACCACCATAGCTGCATCCCCACAAAAAACAAAAGCACACACGACCAACGCGCACATCTTCACACGACGGCCTCAAGAGCAAACAGAACTTATACTACAGGTCAAAAACTACATGCTGAAACGTCGCCTGAACCCAACCCACTCCCGCTCCCACCCAACACACACCAGCCACCTCCAAACAAACACCCTCTCCACAAGAGCAGGCACGCTGAACCTATGAAGCCTGAAAGAAAACATAGCACAAAAAAAAAACCCTAAGAGAACTACTACCCATACTACAAACCCGTTTCTATTCCAAAACACATGACCTTCAGTCCCAACCATCGCCGCCGTCCCTATGTCCACACCGCCATAGCTGCACAACAAAACAAAAATCCCCACTAAACGCGGACACTACTTACCGCACACCAAGAC